ATAAATTTTGAACGTTAAAGAAGAGCAAAGTGCGAGTGTGAAAAATAAGTTCCCTAACCGGGTTTCGAACCCGAGCCTTCTGCTGTCTATGCAGACTCCTTAACTTAACCATTGAGGCTTTGTTGGAAATTCAAATCCGATTAAAGCATCTAATTCGTCATGCTCTTACGTAGTTGGATAGCACTAGTTGTTGATGCATGGCAATTAACACAGATCGAATGACAAGCTCTCTCCTTATAAGCATTTAATGACAATATGAGATCTCCAAACATTATGCCACCTACCGATACTTATTGTAAATGTACACGACGCTCCATTTCCTGCGTCATCACTCATGGTACAAGTGATTTCATTTACGGAGCCAATTGGATATTCTTGGCTTGGACTCTCTGAACATTCCACCAATGGTGACTGCGTTCGGTCGTCTGTGGCTTCTGGAATGACCCATTCCGGAGACTGGCTTTTTGAAACGATATTCATCGGACAAGTAAAACTGGGTGGGAACACGTCAATATAATCTGCGTTTTCATTAAATGTATCATACACGTTTACGTTAAGACATTATTTTAATAGACATAAATCAACACATGCGTATTGCACAGGCCTATATACACTACAGTATATGATGTACTTTTGTATAGTAAATAGTAAATAATGATAATAATAATAATAATAAAGTTTAATAATGATGATAATAATAATAATGATAATGATGGTAATGATAATACAATAACAATAAAATCATATAATATAATAACAATATAAATAATAATAGTATTGTTTTTTCTTCCTTTAAAACATATACATATATATATGTGGCAAAGACAAGCCAAACCAGTCACTCGTCGGAAAATTCAATATTTAGTTATTAATACAGGGTTTAACAGTAAAATGAGTGCTATAAAATGGTAAAAGAATCATTTAAATCTGACACTTCGTTATGAAGTTACACGAGTTTAAACATACAGCGGTTTAAAGAACAATATTTGAGCCTTCAAAGTTTACGATTTCAGACATTTCTTAGGCAGAAACCATCACCAAATCGTTAAAATTGTTGTTTTAACATTGAAAATGAGGAAAATAACAGCATACAGTAGCATGATGTATAGATATATAAATGTTAGTTTAGTGCAATAAAATAGATTCCCAAAATTTTGAAATTTCAGCATGTTTTGGCCATTATCTCCAAAACACGATTTGCGACGAGTGACTGGTTTGGCTTGTCTTTGCCACATATGTATATGGCCTCGTACTGAAAAAATCAAGCAAAAAGCTATATTATCAGCAAAATAATAAAATAATTCTACAGGAACATAAGTAAGATTATGCCCTAAATTTAAGTTAAAATCAAGTACATTTTCGTAATTAATTCTTTCAAACATTATCTCATTTGTGTTCCTGTTGATTCATTTATTAGAGTATATATAGTTTTACCAACATATTATATATCTTACTTTCCACTGTTACTAGAAATGAACACGATGCAGCATTGTTGACTTCGTCGACAGCTTTGCACACAACGCGTGTTTCACCGATTTGAAAACCAGAACCAGATTCAGGGTGACACGATACAGTTGGATTACTTGAATAGTTATCCGTCGCCGTTGGTTTTGCGTACTTTACATAAGGCTCCGTTGAAATTATCTTGTCCTCATGACACATAATTACTGGAGGCTCTGTATCTAATCGAATCAATAAAAATATACTTTTATAAGGGTATAATTTGTATATCAGTAAA